ATTGCTCATGAGACAAAAAGCTCATGAGACAAAGAGAAAGGAAACAAAAAAACAATGACGTGCCGATGCTCTCGCATTACCACAATTCTGAATCACTCCATGCAAAACGGGACATTAATTGCATGGCTGTAGAGTTTATCAGCAACAAGGCATATTCAAATAGGCGGCGATAAGTCCGGCGAGGAGGGAAGGCCGCAGCAGTTTGAGGGCAAGCGGTGTGACTGAGGTTGGCTAGAGAGAGAGATAGCAGCTTGTAAAAACCAGGAAGCGAGAGCCACAACGATAACAGGTGTGGGAGAGTTCCTCCACATTACTAAAAGGAATCAGTAACATCTAGGCAAACGGACTGAACGAGGCAAATCACGCTGCGGAAGAGATACGGCTCGCCCGCTTCAAATGCTGCCATTGTTCCCCAACCCGAGTATGTAAAGGCCGAGATAAGCGCCCTGCTGATTGCCTACTTTGATACAAGGCAGTATACTTTGTTGGACGGCAATCAATGTGCAAAAAACGTATTCCTGCAATTCCTGGCAGATGGAGTGGTGGCGTCTACTCAGGACGAGTTTCTCCCAGGGGCGATCCGTCCATCTGGATGACTTCCAACAACAAATGTGACAAGATGCCAATGCCTTGTTGGAAAGAAAATTCATTTCACATGAAGAGAACACATGACCAAAACCAAAAATGGGAAATGAGCTTCCAGTATAAACCTAATCAGTTACCAGTTACGTTCATGGACATCAGATCGGTGTTGTACCCTGTTCCGTACCTTTAGGCAGAAATCCGTTTCCTTCTTAATTTGCAAATTAAGAACAGATCACCAACTAAACCGAATGCTGCTTTTGTGGGGGGAAGCAGTTAGAAAATCTAAAATAAACACAACCAAACCACCTTGCTGCATGTGATCTGAGACATTCCTGGACTGACTGGAGTTTGAAGTTTTGGCTCAGTGGACTCCAACACTCCTCCTCGGAGGCTCGGGGCTTCGAGTTCGCTCCCTAATCGTAACCGAGGCGCACGGCCCTCAGGATGGGAATAAAACAAAAAATTACTTTCATTAAGAAATTCAGATTTCCTCTACCCTTTTGATCTCGTGCCAGAAGAACATTTATGCTGATGAAATGCATAAATAAAGTTCTTAAATGGTCCCATTCCTCTTTAGTGCGCGTGTCGGAGTTGGAGAACCTCCAGACGAGACAACCACAATCACAGTGAGTGCCCCCGAAGAGAGATGACTTCCGAGACGGCCTGCCTCGGCTCCGACTGTCACGAGGCTCGCCGTCCAGACTTTTTCTGCACATCAAGGCATTTTCTGTAGAACACTGAACAACTGTGTTTTTACAAGAATTCGCATCAACTAATTAGTCTTCTAAATTTTGAAAGTGTCTGCTACAAATCAGCAGTTTGTTCAGAGACGCTCCTGTAATAAGAGACTTCATTCCTAACTAAGTTACCTACAGAAAACCTGTCTACTGAAATTACTGTGATTTTAAGCACGTTAAGCTCTGTCACTGCACGTTAAGCTCTGTCACTGCCCACACTTTGCCCGATTACTGCCAGACCTCAGTCACTTCGAAGAATCAAAGAAATCCTGCTCAAGAACAGATGAGAAACAAAGTCGTATATCAGTCCGAAAAGGGTTGATTGATTTTGGGTGATCAGCGATTGGTTGATACTTGCATGCAAAATCGATCTTTTCCATCCGCCTTATCTACCTCCTCAAATGCCTGAAAATCAGCAAGTGTCCTCTTCGTGCTCCCAGAATGCTTTTGAACTCATTTGGCAGAAAAAAAAACTACTTTGGGGCAGCTTGTTAAAATTTTTCAGAGGGAAATTCTTTTGAAATAGTACAAATGGTTGTCAATGTGTGGCAGGAAAGTCCAAAAATGTTAATAAAATGGTGTATTATCGCACTTATCTTACTGGTTATGTTTATTAATATGTGTCTAATCATAGACATTATCAATGATTAATGATCAGTTCATCAAGTGTCACGATGTAGTGTTGATGTAAAAAAGCACTGCAAAATCCCAGGGAAACGTCACAATTTAAGGACTCAAAAAAACTCAGGCGTCATTATGTTGAAGTGTTTAGCAGTCCCTATTCTGGTAGGAATATAATAAAAGACGACTTAAAATATTGTGAACTGTCACAAGTCTGAATCCAATCAATGACATATACGACACAAGACTGACTACAGCCAGCGCTATCAATGTCAATTTTATTCAAGGTTGAGATTTGGGCTGTTTTGGGGGGTTTTTTGGAGTTGGGTGGGTTTTATGTTGTTTCTGGACTGAAAAATTGGAATTGCAAGAGCAGCCAGAAAACTAATATCGGTATATTTTCAGGATTCATCGATCAGGGAGACAATGGGAACAATTCATGGGGGAGGTCCAAGGAAAAGCCTCTACTGACAAAGAAGAACATGAAGACCCATCTCACATTTGCCAAATAACTGTCTTAATTATTTCATCAGAAAGTATCCTGATAAAATAAAAGTGGAGGTTGAAAGAAAGAGAGAGAGAGAGTCCAGTTACATCTGGTTCAAAATCAAAACATTTTCAGCAAAAGAGCTAAACAAAGTGGTGGTAGTGTGATGGTCTGGGCCCAGACAACTTGAGCTCTCTGAACGAGGCCAACACTTCATGACCTTAAGCTCATTTGAGTTTAGCAACAGGACAATGACTCAAAGCACATCGTCAAGTTGACCTCTGACCGGCTTTAAATAAAATAAAAGGAAGGAGGTAAAGTTAAGGTCTAAACTTATACAAAATGATCTTAAATAGGCCGTGCTCCTCCAATGTGGCCAACGGAAAGTTCTCTAAAGCTGTTAGCCCATTTTTCCCTTGTCAACTTGTTGCAATATACGGCTGTTCGTGAGAAACTCAAACCCCCTCAGTTCCAGCTGCTGGGGAGGGCTGGGCACTTCTGCTAAATGATTCCCCTGAGGTCTTACCGGATGATGCGTCTTTCCTGACAAAGGAAGCACTTTTACATTTGTTGCACAACACATTGACAAGAAAACTGCGCGTACACTTTTGAAGTGGAATGATAATAATAATAATAATAATAAAAAAAACCCCCTGAAAATTAAAAATAACCCTGCTAGTTTCTGGGATTTCTGGGCAAAATACTTTTCTGGTAAACTTTGGGTCATCATTAGGCAAAAAGTGGAGGAAAGATATTGCTGCAGAGTTGCATCCAACATGATCAGCAGTGATTACAGAATCTCACGCATTATCCTGTTGAGTCATGTGAAAAAGTGTAAAAGTTTGGTACCCAACGATCTCTCAATGCAAGTGAGGTCAAATATGGAATCATAACCTGAGATAGAAAAAGTCTGATCCGAAAGGGCAGAATAAAAAGCGCACGGTGTGGCTGTGTGTGTTTGCTGAAGCCCATTATGTAAAACAGGCACCAAATGTTAGTCTGACCTGCTGATGGCACGAAGCGCTGGGTCGGTTTCCATGGTTACAAGGTAACCTACTCTGTGAACCCGGCTTAATTAGTGGCCAAGATTTCTTGAATAAGCCCTTGCATTTTTAAGGACTTCCTGTGTTTGTTTTTTTAAATTTTTTTTATAAATCGTTCCTCTGGTTTGAGGGGAGTGGAGTTTGTTTTAGTGCATCTAATAAAAAAAGTTAAATCTAAACATTCTGAGAAGGAAAAAAAAAAAACCTAAAACGTCTCTTGCTGCTCAAACTGGTCCAGTTTTCTCCAGCCTCTTCCACATTATCAGACTAAATTATCCTGAATTCCAGCAAAATTTAAAGACATAATAAAAAAAAACAGTTTTAATGAGATACAGCGGCTGAAAAAAACCCAAATTTGGCTAATAGATGGAGAGTGGTGGTGTGATGGGACCTTGCTTAATGTCAATTGTTTCTATGAAGTCTGTCTTGACTGTCATCTGGTTGAGGATTTATTATTAGGAACACCTCATTGATGACGGCCTCGACCCTTATCGCCTTCAGAACTGTCAATTCAGCAAGATTTGCCAGAGATTCAGTCCACGTTGACATGACGGCGTCAACAGCTGAGTTTCTGTCCAAATCGAAATTACAAAAATAAATTTGCTGAACGGAAACATGACAATTTTGAAAACAACAAAAAAACAAAACTCACGTTTTTTGATCAAACATTTTTGCACTAGGAGGAGGTGCTATTTCAGCTGCATCTAAATATCTGTATTTCGAAAGTGGAAGCAATATTTTTTGCATCATATGATATTACGAACCGCCGGATGTTACTATTGACAAAAACCTGCAGGAAGCAGCAGGATGATGCCGGTTTGTTTTAGTTTTTTCGGACAATGTGCAGCTGGCTCCATCGGAGCACTCACAGCATCACATGGTTTATAAAAATTTGTATCATGTCGAGTCCAAAAGTCTTCTGTTAAATTTCCCCAAACGCCGCCTGTGTAGCCACTCCCACATACTTGGCCCTTGCCTCTTCAAAGCCTAAACCAGATGCTGATGTCTACTCTGATTGGCTGATAGATGATGAGCGCTGGCATCGTAGCTGAGTCATGAATATTCCTCATGTAACTGTTTACATCCGTCGCTGCCATTATTTTTGAATGGCTCATTGTTTTTTCATGAGTGATTTTAATTTTGTTTGTGTAATGAAACAATCGCAAAACATTAGCAGAATATCAACAAAGATTTTCGCACATTTGAAAAGGAAATGGAGCTTATGACAAGAGTTACAGGATTTGTAATAAGTGTGAGAACACCATGACTGGCTGACCGCTAAAAATGTTTTTGTGAATCTTGGCTAGGTCTTGATAATCCCTAACTTAAAGTCTAAAATATTGTGAGTGACTGCACCTGCTTTTCCAAGAATATTGCTAAAATCTTGTCTTGTGTCACAGACAAGACAAGGGACACGTAGCGGATCATGTCGAAAAGGGATTTAGAGACACGGCTGAGACAACAAAAAGTCTACATCAACAGTCAAGAGTGTGACATGGTGAGGTAAGAGTAATGGATGTAGCTTACGATGTAGCAGGGCTCACAGTACGCCTTCTTGTCCACAGCATAGAAAGGTTTGCCGCGCAAGGGTTTGCTGCAGGTCATGCAGATGAAGCAATCGACGTGGAACACCTGGTCCATGGCGGTGCAGCCGGTACCTTCGCCCACCACGTTCTCCCCGCAGCTGGCACAGCGTCCTGGGTGGCAAAGGCAGAGAGGGGGGCCAAGCACAGGTCAACCAAAATGTTTTCAGCTTCAGAAAAATGCAGGAGACAGATTCCACTTTTATGCATGTGATAGTGAAATGTGACTCTAGCTCCATTAGCTGGTGGTTCTGAGAGAAAATTCTTGGCCTGATGCTTTTTGTAACAGGGATTGAGCCCAAGATACGAGAGCGGAAACGAGAAGAGGTGCACAAGCATTTTAAGGAATTGGTGTTTGATCAAAAGTGCAGATATAACCTGGGGGAAAAGTATTTTATGCTGCCTCTGGGTAGAAACACACATTTAGCTTAACAAATTACAGAATCTACAAACAACTGACTGAAAAAAAATTAATCAGGCAGGGACTGGCTGTAAAAGCTAATAGTTTCCCAGCTACAACAGATTGGTGTGGCAAAAAGTGGAAAAGCAAACCAGAAGCTCTTCAAATTTGATAAATATTCTGTAACTTCAGTGTAACGATCACAATTTCAGATTAAACAGCTCATGAAGATGACAGCACTGCCAAACTGATGGTCCTATTTGAATTAGGTCTGTGAAAACACGTTGCTGTTTGGTTCTGAACAAGATCAATAGTCTGAGGATAGTCAGACTCCAGCTTGTGTAACGAGGCCTAGTCTGAGTGGGCTTTCAGAGACCGTCTAACAGAAGGTGAGAGTCCCGCTGACCACAGGACCGTCAACGTGAAGCAGTCTGTCCATAGACCCATCTGCCATGTGTTGACGGAAGACATTTTCGGGAAGACGCAAGACATTCAGTAGCTGACAAAGAATCATGACATACTTGCATTTAAAGCACGATGTGCTTCATTACCACCTGGCAAATCAAATTTAGCTCAGTCTGAAACTTTTTCAGACTGACCATGTGCAACACAGATGTCTTTCTTCTTATTTCCCCCCAAATAATTACCATCAGACTATAGAGACTCACCCAGTGGCGAGTAAAGATTTAGACCAAGAAAACTATCCCGGGACTAAACGATAGTCACACATGGACATAATGGCAGATGAAATGGGTGAATGAATTGGCAAAAAGTAGTTCTAAATGTCCAGGACAAGTAGTCAAAACTTTCCATCATATGCTGATGATGCTGCGAAATCCGTCTATGAGGATCTACCAACCCCTAACAAACCAAATTTATACTCCCACTGTACGAAATGTCAATCAAAACTTTCAACACGTCTATGACAAGACGGCTCAAATTCTTTTACATCAGCCCAAAAAAAACTAAAGCTGCCCCTTAAATCCATTCCCTAAAGTCAAAAGTGCCTCATCTTCATTTCTATTTCAAACCGACTGGATAAGGAAGGATTAAATAGTATAATTATGGCACATTAAAGAGACCATACACATCACTAACGAGTGACATCTGCTGAAAAAGTCGGGCTTTAAATGATAAAAAAAGAAAACTTTGGAAGTACAAGGAAGTCTTTGTAACAGGGGCACAAGTGAACTGATACTATTACTCCACAAAGAGCCTGATTGCATATTGCGGGACATGGCATTTGGATATCTTTAATTGAGTTGGAGATATCTTTAATTGAGTTTAAGATGTCCTCGACTCAATGCAAGTTATCTTCAACCCAATTAATGACACTGTCAATTTAATTACTGGTATCTCCAAATAATGGGGTTTGAAAAGATATCTGAGAATGTTTAATGTTTTTTTTTACACATCTGAGGACAGATGCAATCTCGCAGAGGAAGCATGATACAGTAATATTTAATTAATTCAAGTTCAGTTCAATAGATCAGGGTTTTTTTTCTCTCTCCTCCCTGCATTTCGCTTCATCTCAAAGCTGATTTGGACCGATGATTGACGCTCCATCTGTTCTGAACGGAGCGTTACAGACACAGGCGAGACGCCAACCGGGGGCAGATAGAGTATCTGATGCTTGCTTTGCTTTTTCTTCTTCTTTTTTTTCCCTTCTCCTTTCTCTTCTCTTCTCCTCCACAGCTCCGCTCGCTGTTTTTCATATCAAGAATTCAAACGGAGCGGAAAGCGGGATCCGTCTCAGGTATCAGCGCAACTTTGGGCTCCGTCGTGCGCCGCCGAGATCAAACTGCCAGGGCTCGTTAATAGTGCGCTAATCTCAGAGAAGTCATTATCTTATCGCGGGGGCCTGCTCTGCAAACGGAGAGAGAGCATCTGCGGAAAGGGACGAGCAGAACCGCGGCTTCACAGGGAGGAAATACTGGAATACTGAACATCTGTAACTCTGTTAACGAGGCTCGTCGTTCACTGACGGGGGGCGCGAGGAAAGGAAAAGAGAGGGAAATTGCAAAACAAAGGCCCGACGTTTAACTTCTCGAAATTCTTATCACAGCCGCATTTTTTTGCGCGTTAATCTCGAAACGACTGTCATCCCCGGCGAAGCCGACAGGTTTTCATAAAGCCTGCAATCGGTTTTCATCTGCTCCCGCAGCTCTATCCACACCTCAATTACGTCTGCGTTACCTACTGTACGGGGAGGCAGATTAAACAAACTAGTGAAGGCACGTCTCCGGGGGACATGTGGGTGTCAGTGGAATCACAAGCAGGGTAATCACTTCAGAGAGCCAGAGGGAAAGAGAAAAGGAGAGAGAGAGAGGGAGAGAGAGAGAGACGAGCCTGTTAGTGGCTCCGGATCACAGGCCATCTTCAGTGAGTGGATGAGAATGCCAAACATGTCCCACAGGGCTCCCACTTTAAATAACGAGCAGGAAACCTCTCGGAAATCCTTTTCCTTTTGGCGGTCTGTGATCGCGAGGGGCCCGAGGAGATACCGGCGCGCGGCTGTGGGTGAAACGTACGCGGGTTTTTTTTTTTTTTTTTTTTTTTGCCACACGTATTCACACATTTCCCGACATCACAGCGAGGGAAGGGGAAGGAAAGAAAAATAAGGAATCCATTCGCCAGGGAATGCCACACAGGTAGACGAGACGTGAAGTCAGAGACGCGTGTTGTTCATCCACACAGCGGCAGGAGCCGATCTGAGGCCGGCCTTCAACCTACAGAGGCTCTGATCTCTGCTCTCCTTAACAAACATGAAGCTCCTTCTGTTGTTTGGAGGACAATGTTATTGAGGCTCTGAAACTCATAGATGTGGAGAAAGTCGTTAGCAGCCCTGGTGAAGATGTGCGCGGGAGTCTAAAGACAAAATGTTATTTATTCGGCAGCATCAGTCTCGCACTGACACATTTAGAAAGACCCAACTATCAGTTTGTACATTTATTACAAAGGGGAGAAAATGAAACACACTTTAAGACATAAGTGGTATAATTTACTGGGAGCTCTGCTGATACTTTCTGCACGTCCCTTCCTGGCAATAGAAAAGTTCACTACTTATATCTTTCACATGGTTTGCAGCACACAGAGGGATCTTCGACTGCTGGCTCAGGTTATAACAGGAAATACGATTAGTTACCATAGCTACGCGGATGAGACACAGCTCTACATCACGATGTCAGCAGGTGACTCTAAAGCCATCGATGCACTGAACAGATGCTTAGCAGAAATCAATGATGTGCCAAAACGTGCCCCAGATGAACAGAAACAGAACTGAAGTTATTATCTTTGGACCTAAAGATGATCTCCAGTCAGTGCGCAGCTTCAGTTATGACAGCTGGAAACTAGAGCTCAGACATGGGTGTGAACGTTAAAAGTCACATAAAGACGGTTACAAAGTCGGTCTTCTATAACCCACAGAACATTTCTAGGATTAAAGAACTGATGTCTCAGCATGTAGAAAAACAGCCATTCGTTTAGTTTCAGTTGCAATGTTTATTGGTGATTTTAACGAAGGAATTTGACAAAATATAATGTTGGTTATTGGTTTTCACAGCTGTTTACTGCACAGTGTGTTATGATGTTGTTTATGTTTTCACAATCCAAATCTCTTTGAACTGTTGGGTTTCAAATTAACCTGACTGATTGAAATAATAATAATAATTAAAAAAACTTACTAGTAACTTTTCAGCAAGATATAGAAGCTTTTTTATGCCAATAATTCCTTAATATTGATGAAAACACACTAGTATAATTATCTATAAATATCTTTTTTCAAATTGAAATAATCTGCCAACAGAAGGAATACTTTTTCATCAATATGAAGCAATTGTTAACTTAAAACAAGGTTCATTATCTTGTTGATAGTTAACTTATGAATCACTTCTGCTTACTTCAAGCGTATGAAGACGTTTGCTCTAGAAACTAGGACAAAAATACTTGGTACTACTTTGTTCTTTTGCACGGACTTGACTGAACATGTTTGTCCTGTTAAGTAAAAGAGGAAAAGAATACGTGGAACAGCAGATTTCAAAGCTGAATTTAAAAACAGAACAAAAGAGAGAAATCAGATTTTCGATTTCTATAGCACAACTCCCAACAAATTCGCCGCCGCTCCCGTAAAGTTGGCCGCCAGTGGGCCGTGACGTTTCCCCCCCACAAAGCGTAAATGGTTTCAGAGTCTCTGTGTTGTTTCTAAAAGCCTCGCTGTCTGATAACAGGGAGGAGCGCTTCTTCTTCCTTTTTTTTAATTTTTATTTTTTTTAACCATTCCTCACATCAATTATTTCACACGGCTGTGTTGGAAATAAGCTTTTTCAATTTGGAGACACGACTTCAATTGACTCGTTGAATAATACAGGACAGTGAGTGAAGCAACTCCCCGTATTTACCCCCGTGGAGTTCATCCCAAATACTTTCGAACTATTTCAGCTGGGCATAAAGGAATCATGAAAAAGCCCCGGCGCTCCCTCTGCGTCCCCCCTTTTTTTTTTTTTTTTTTTTTTTGTGCGGGGAGTGGAACCAGAGTCTTCATATGAAAACTTCAAATATTTCCTGTAGAACCAACGCGATGGCGACGGGTGGGATGAGGAACGGGGGGGAGGAGGGGAGTTCATTTACACTTTACTCACTTTCTTTGCTTTCATTCTTCAACCCTCAGAAGTGTCTCTTCTCTGTTACATCGAAAGTCAAAAGGAGGACTGAAGAG